CTACCCCCCCTCGGCGCGCGGCCGACTCGCACTCGAGCTGCGGTCTGCCGCCCGCGGGCTGCGGATCTACGGTCCCGGCGGCGCCGTGCCCAGACACGCCCGCGCCGCGAAGGAACGCACGGCGGGCAATATGCTGTCAGTCTTCGGCCTCGGGATACCACGACGGACAATTCCATCAGCTTTTGGCATCTGGGGGCCCTCGCTGGGCCCCGGACCGTCGAACGACGACTCGCGATGAAAAGCCGGCCCCCGGGAAAGGGCTGAGACCTCCGGGGGTCCACGCCCGCCAGAAATCATGACGTCGGGGGTCGAGGGTCGTCGTGCTGCCATGAGAAACGCTAGATGAGGAACGGCGGTGCTTACATCAGGAGCTCGAACACAAGAAACCTTCCACGAGAAACCCAACCCTGAGACCCCAGGACGCCCATTTGGTGTGGGAACGTCACGCTTTCAGCACCCAAACCATCGAAACCCCCAAAACCGAGGGCACCCTGAATGCAAGCTGGGTATTTCTTGGCGGTGGTATCGCATGTATATCTGCAACGAATTCCCCGACCTTACTCGAGGAAGCGGCCCGAAAGCCAACGCCCCTCCGGAATCCAGAAATGGCTCCTGTTTCCAAGGCCCGACTTGATTCGTCCCGGGTCTTTTGCTGGCGGCTCTGGCCTGGTAAAGTCCCCTGGAGACCGAAGATCGTGAAACACCTTGCGTCATGATTCCCTAACTGGGTGTCGTTGGAAGGTTCGGCTATGTCGCATGGAAAGAATTGCCGATCTAAGGAATACCCTGTAACGCCCCTCGCGGGGGTAGAAACCAAGCGTCGTGTTGTCTCCTCCTCCACTCGTGTTCTTGCGCCAGACGTCCACCCATGAGGCTCTCGGAAGTTTCCACAAGGCTCGCAGGTGGTCAGAAAAATGCCCCGAACATCGAAGACTAAGGTATTCGATGTTTCGTTTTCGACTCCGTTCCCAGAGCCCCGACGTGGTGTCTGTTCGTCGGATCGGCGCCCTTGTTGTCGTGAAATTATCCTCGGAGGGCCTCTTTGTGACGCTCCCGAGAGAGGGGAGGAGGGAGGAGGGAGGAGGGAAGGACGAGGGAGGAGGGAGGAGGACGGATGGGGAGGAGGCGGATCTCGCGCACGGCGCTATCGGAGCCATCGAGGCTATGGATGAGGTAGGAGGAGGAGGAAGAGGACGAGACGGAGGAAGAGGAGAAAGAGGAGGAGAAGGAGGAAGAGGGGGAGGAAGGATTTGAAGCAGGACGGATGAGGAGAAGGATGACGACGACGAGCAGGAGGAGAGGGAATGCCGCCCGTCCTGGAGCCTCCTTGTGTCGCCGTGGCTCTCCTAGAGCGTGCTGGGGGGCCTGTGGCCTGTTTGGGGTCTTCGGGGCCTCTTGGGGCCTCTTGGAGCCTCCTGGGCCCTCTGGAGCTTCCTGAATGTAATTCAAAGTGGGTCCTCGGGGGGGCTCTTGAGATCTCGTGGGCTCTCCCTGGGCCGCCATGGGCCCTCCTGGAGCCGAGCCTCCGTGGGCCCTGTAAGAACTCTCTCGCGGGGGCGGAATGATGGAAACAATTTCACGCATGGGGGGCCTTTCCGTTGAGAAGGGGGGCGCAGTGCAGAGTGGGTCCTCCTGGGGCCCTCCGGGGGTCTCCTAGGCACTCCCGAGGCCGCCATGGGCCCTCCTGGAGCCCCTGGGGACCTCTAAGAAGCCTCTCGCGGGGGCTGAAAAATGACGACAGTTTCACGGATGGGAGCCTTTCCGTTGAGAAGGGGAGCGCGGTGAAACGTAATAAAGTGACGACAGTGTTGCATTTCAGGCCCCAAATCGTCTTTGGGCACCTCGGGCGCGAACCCCGCTCCCGCATAGTACGGCGCGATTTCCCCTCCCCCCGCTGTCCCGCCAGACCCCCGGAGGGTGATTTTTGTGGTTTTCTCTTGTAAGAAACACTTCCCCCCCCCTCTCGACGGTGACGGAGGGCAGGCGGCGGGGGTGGGCGGGTTGGCGGGGTGGCGGGTTGGCTGGGGTTGCGGGGTGGCTGGTTGGGCTGGTTGAGCCGGTTGAGTTGTTTGGGTGGCTGGTTGGTTTGGTTGGCTGGTTGGGCTGGCTAGGGCAATTGGTTTCGACCGTTGCCACCCCCCTTGCCAAACCTAGCCACCCCTTTCAGGCAAAGAAGCGCGCGATAGAAGCGCCGGTCCGCTCGGCCTGCACTTCTTGGAAGCAGCGTCGGCAGCGGAATGATCAGCGTCGGCAGCGGAATGATCGCTGGATGCGAGCATCGGCACGTTTGGAATGATCGTCCTGGCAAAACCTTCGGCAGTGCGAAAAGCTCTCACATGTGAACCGCCACGATCGAAGCGACTTTCCTGCGGGCAGCGCTGGTAATTAATTCAATAAGCGGCTCCTGCGGGCTCGTGCGCTTGGCGTGGGCGTCTTGGCCGCGACGCTGACGGCGTGAAGCGCAGTGGAAACAAACCGACCGTTCTCTCTTCTCCTCTTCATCCTCCCCCACCGCATTTTGGACGCCCGAGTTATCCGGGGTAACTCGGGTCCGGGGTAACTCGGGCTTGGGTTCCCGAAAAACGAACCCGAGTTATCCCTGACCCGAGTTACCCCTGATGATTCGGGGCTCTGAGCATTCGTTTGCCTCCGCGGGGACGGACAAGGACGGAGGGAGTGGAGGAAGAGAGGAGGCGGAGGAGACCTGTGGTGAAGGGGGGCCCGAGCCTGGCCAACCTCCCACCAGTCCCTAACGCGCAAAGCCGACGAGAAGGAAGGATTGCAAAACGAAGGGTTTTTTGCAATCCTTCGTGCAATCCTGTTTTTTTTTTTTTTTTTGTTTTTTTGCAATCCTGGGTTTTTTTTGCAATCCTAGGGTTGTTTTTGCAATCCTTCGTTCAGATGCGGGAGAAAGGTGAGGAAAGCAGACGAGAACGATGATGCGGGAGAAAAGTTCCAGGAGGATGAGAAAGATGAGCACGAGGAGGACGACGATCAGATAGGAAGCCGCCAGACGAGCACGACGAGGATGAAGATGAGCGTGTCCACGACCTCGAGGAGACTCAGGACAGATATTCAGCACTATCGCTTCCAATGCAAGAATTTCGCATACACTTCGCCACGGTGCAAGCTTCCCCTGCAACGACAAGCCCAGCAACCCCCCGCCGGCCAACCCCCAAGAACCTGGCCAACCCTCCTGGCCAACCCTGGATACTGAAATTCGTCCAGCTGACATTGTAACAAGTACAAAAAAACAGGATAGTCCCACGGGACCGCCAGAGAGGCCACGAGACGCAAAATTCGTCCCATTCTCTCAGGACAAGCATGCATGTTCGACATACTCGCCCTTCTCGTCTTGACAGCGCTCAATGCGGGCCCAAGGGTCTCCCAAGATCGTTTGAAGACAGCCCATAAGGTTCCCAAGAGGGCCCTCGAAGACGGCCCGAAGACAGCCCCAAGAGGACCCCATGTGCCTGTCAGGCTCTGCTCTATCAGGCCCTTTTCTGCTCTGTGCTGTCATGTTCGTCGAGGGTGCGGGGGGCGAGACACTCGGGGGATACCCGGCGGACCTGGGGATCAGGCGGCCGAGGTTGGGCGGGTCGGGAGGTTTGTTTTTTGTTAAAAATACACAAACACATATTGTATACACATTTAACAATCGATAAGAATCTAAGACCTCCAACCTGTCAGGTGAAAACATAATAGTCCCACGGGGGGACGGGGAGCCCCGGACCATTCGGCCCAGCAGCCGCTTCGCCTGCTGCTTCCTCATGATGCATTCAGGAATCGCGCTCTCGCCCCACTGCTGGCCACATCCTTGGTCTGGACGGCCACGATCCCTGGTCACGAAAAACATGAAGAAGCGGATGGCCGTGCGCTCACCCCCGTCCCGGCTGCATCCTCCGTGCGTTCCCCAAGAATCCCAAGGAATCCCCTCGAATGCACGCTTTCACTGGCCGACCTCCTCCTCCTCCTCCTCCTCCTCCTCCTCGACCCGTCTCTTCACCGTTGCTGCCATTGAAAATGCTCTGCTGGGGATTCTTTTCATCACGTGGACCACATAAGCCTGGACCCATTCCCGGGGCCCAATTCTTCATCCCGAGCTGTTTTTTGACGGTCCCGAGGCCTGGCAAAGGCCCCTGGAGGCTGAACGTAGGGACATACCTTTGCGCCGTGACTTTTTTCTCTGCGCCGTAGGGCCTGGGCTCGGAGATCAAAGGCCGAAGGTCCAAAATTGGGGAAACCAGAAAGTACCGATACCGCTATTCCCCGAGCCTCTCCCGGGGTGCGTTCTGACCAGACTCTCGAGGCGAATCCAGCGGTGGGCGACGAGGGCCTCCCAGGAGGCCCAAGAAAGAGCAACCGAGGGAAGGGTGGCGGTATGGGTATCGTGTCCTCCTCCGGAATGGAGTCCGGGGGTCCAGCGCCGATCCAAGAAATCCGCGCGGACCGCCACAAGGTTTTGTCATGCCGTGTTTCTTCGAATGAGGTATGGGGTCGCAAGGCTCGAGTGAAACACTGTTTTTCGTGCTTCGTTCTGGTTTCGTTCTCCTCCGTTCTGTCTTCGCTCTGCCTCTGCTGCGGAACGAAATCGAAACGAACACGGCACACGAGACCGCCAAAACAGCATTTAATTCGAGCCCTCGCGCCGACGACGACGACGACGACGACGACGACGACGACGACGACGACGGCGGCGGCGGCGGCGGCGGCGACGGCGACGGCGGCGGAGATCGAAGGCCGAGGGCCCAAGATCGGCTGCGGTTCGGTCGGGCGTGCCCCCCTACGGGCAAGTTTTGGACGACAAGTAACACATACCCCAAACATGCTCAAAATAACCGGGCAAATAATCCAAACATCATCCGCATCAAATTGTTCTACTACTTTTGAATATTCCTCCTGTAGAAGGACGTGCCCGACTTAAGGCTGTTTTACGGCGACGGCGACGGCGGCGACGGCGTCGGAGATCGCAGGCCGAGTGCCCGAGATCGGCTGCGGGCCTCCCGCCATTCCATCCTCTGGTACCTCCACCGCAGCACGGCCTGCACCAGCTGCCCGATTTTGACCAGCCTCCTGCGGGGGAGGTGCCCGGCCCCTCCCGTCCAGGGGGGGGGCGAGAGAGGGACCCTCCTCCTCCTCCTCCTCCTCCTCCTCCTGTTCCTCCTCCTCTCTACTTCCTCCTCCTCCTCCTCCTCTGTCCCCCTCCTCCTCCTCCTCCTCCTCCTCCTCCTCCTCATTCCTTCTCTCTCCTCCTCATTCCTCCTCATTCCTTCTCTCTCCTCCTCCTCCTCCTCCTCCTCCTCCTCCTCCTCCTCCTCCCTCCCTCCTCCTCCTCCTCCTCCTCCTCTCCTCCTTCCTCCTCCTCCTCCTCCTCCTCCTCCTCCTCCTCCTCCTCCTCCTCCTCCTCCTCCCCTCTTCCCCCTCTTCCTCCTCCTCCTCTCCTCCTCCTCCTCCTCCCTTTTCCTCCTCCTCCTCCTTCTCCTCCTCCTCCTCTTCCTCCTCCTCCTCGTCCTCCTTTCTCCTCCCTCCTTCCTCCTCCTCCCCCTCATCCTCTTCCTCCTCCTCAACCTCTTCCTCCTTTTTTGCAATCCACCGCGTGGCTTCCGTGACGGGGCGACAACAGAGAAACGAGGCTCCCACTGTGCCGCGCCATAATTCTTACACGAGTGCAATGAATTCATCAATACATACATGGACGCCCTCCTTGTCAGGGTGTAATCCTTCCTTGAATTTCTGAAATTCCGAATTCCAGTGGTGGCGGGGGGGGCTTACAGGCTTTGGCCAAACCGAGCACCTGATCACCACCCGAATACACTTTACAAAAAAAACAGAACAAGGCGAGAGGCGTCAGAGAAAGGCACGGCAAGCACCCTGTGTCCTACTCTCTCCATAAACACCTTGCTCTAGTTTGGACTTCCCAGGGCACAGGCTGACAGGGAGGACGTTTCTTCTCGGGCACCGTGGAACCTTTCAAGCACACTTCAGAACGCCATAGCCCATTCGAGCGCTCCCAAGGATGGCTCAGCACCAATTTCGGAGCCGAGGGCGGGGGGGGGATTAGTTCACAACTTCTGAAATCAAGCAATGGCCAGTGCAGAAGGACTGCCGCGCCAAGCTTCAAAACATGCTTAGTAATCTCAATCTTACAATCAAGCTCCTCGGGGTCTCGCGGGGCCGCGGCGGGGTGGCGCGACAGCGCGCGCTTGGCTGCATGACCCGCGACAGAATTCCCTTCACGAGCAAAACGCTCAGAGGATGAGATGTTGGTTTCATATAGGTCATGATGCGCTTGTAATGTAGTGCACGATCGGAACCTCCTGCCAAAAATATGCCCGGCTTACAGGATGGCTCCCGCATGCATTCCCCCATGCGAGAGAGAGCTTCCGACGCGGAGAGGTGAAGCTGACCGACGACAGACATTCTTGCGATCAGAACGCGGACCAGCCTCCTCCGAGGCATACAAGCTGCACCAAACAAGTGGTCCAAGTTCAGCACCTTGCGGCGTCTGGGGGCATGGGGCCCACAAAGGCCCCGAAACTTCCCCCAGCAGAGAGCCGTCATCAGAAACCATGGCTATGCCCCGCGCGCTTCGAGACAGCTCGCGCACGAGGCGACGTCGGCTAGAGCCGTCGATAAACAAGGTGCCCCCAGAACCCCTGATCAGGGGTGACGGCAGGCGGGCCAGGAGTGGGAGAGGGAAGGGAGTCGACGTGCCACCTGATCTCCACCCCTCTCACCGACTAACGAGGAGCCCTCCGTAGGCGCGGGAACAAATCGCCAGGGTGCAGGAAACAGCCGTGCAAAATGTGGAGTCTGTCGTGCCCCCCCCCGCCGAAACATCCGCAGCCGCATCCCCAATACACCCTGGAACCAACTGATCTCGAAGTGGCGTGGCCGATGGACGGGGGCACCGCCACAGGCGGTGACAAAAAGCGCGTCATGTTCCTTCCCGCAGAGCGCGCGCCGCGGTGAGACGTCAGCATACCCAGCGGCCACTACATCGGCTGCCGCCCGAAACCCGTTGCAAGCCAGGGCGCGCATGAATCCTTTGTCCTTCTTGGAGACCTTGGGGGAGCCTAAGAGATACTTGGGGGGCGCCCCGTCGCAGGCGATGCAGGCCCCGAAACGATCACCCGAATCTCTTTCCAGACACCGAAAAACCGCCTCCTTGCACAAGTACTGGACCATTCTAAGGGAGTTCAACGCAAGCGGGACTTCTCGGCCGAAATCGTCCGCGATGGTGCAGGAGTTGTCCGTCGACCAGCCAGTCCGATAGAGCGACGTCCTCAAAGCCGAGACCGGGCGCGAGACGTTGCCCCAGCTGCGGCGGTCGTGGCCGAACGCAACTTCTCAACCGGCTCGGGGCTCCGCCCACGAGAGGCAGAAATCAAAGCCGTGGGTCTGAAGCGCCCAAACTTCGCGAGCCCAGCGCGCAATCGGAACGACAGTCGCCCACCAGGGCGGGTCACCCTCAAGCAGAGACAAAACAGAGAGAGGCCCCCCCTGCGCCCGAGGTTTGATCGAACTCGTGCCCAAACGCCTCAAACTCAAAAGCTAGCGATCCGAGACACCGTAAACCTCGGTGCCAAAAATCCCGCTGGCCATCGGACCCGCAGCAAAAATCCGAATGGTTTGTCGCCCCAGAGGTTTGCTCAACTTCCGAAGGCGACGCGTCTTACGAGCTGCCGTGGCCAACCTGGCCTTCAGTTGCGCAGCCCGTCCTTGACCGCGCGCGCAGCTTTCCCAGCGGCAGCGTCGATGCCTAGGTTGCTTACGCCGGCCTTAGCTTGCCCCGCCGCAAGGGGGCCTAGCTGCTCATGGATAACCTCAGCGACCGACCTATGACAAGTGACCACTCCGATCTTATCCATGGCCAGCTTGCATGTGAGAGACGACGTGATAGCAGAATGCAGCGATCGGGCACCAGCAAGAATACCTTGCGTGACTTGGCGGAAGGTGCCCGTCTTGCTCAAGGGCGCGTCGTCGATGTAGATATCGAAGTGAATACTTGACGAAAGGCCGATCCCATCGAAGGCCGACATCGCAAACGCACGGATCAACGAGGTAGCACGGCTACATCCCGGGACAACCCCGTTGCTCTACCCACGAGGGTCCCCCCGCCCCCACCTAACTGCCCGGGCTCTCCTCGCCTTCCCCCAGAGGCGGTAGAACGCAGGGAAGATACCGATCGGGCGGTAGCCGCCCGTGGCCTTCGGGAGAGGGCGAGGGGCACACAGGACAGCTGGCGGGGCAACCGACCCGCGGCCTCCACGATGAAAAAGAGAAAACACATGGCCCGCAGACCATGGTCACAGAGCTGCGAGAAGTGGCGGCAGTGAAAGCCGCCCAGCGAAACAACACTCTGGACCCTGTAGGACCTCGAGAGACCCCCCAGCTCCGCGGGAACCAGCAACGAGTCAGGCAAGAGAAATGGAACCATCCTCAACACCATGCCCCGACCCCTTGCCCCAAGTCGCATCAAACTGACCCCCCTCAGCTGTCAAGAGATGCTTGGGATCAGCAACGCTGACTCCTTTGGAGGACAGAGTGGTGGTGGGGGACCAAGCAATCGGGCCCTCCAAAGCGGCGCGGGCTCTGCGCCCCCCTTTGTTCAGACCAGCACGCAGCCAGTCATGCCGGGCAGACCTCAAAGAGTTCGCAGCCTGCGCCTTAGCCAATAGCTAACGAACAAAGTCCCGTCACTTCTTTAGGCAACTCCTCGAGCTCCGATCGGTGCATCGATGAACCGTCGGCGGTGATCTTCTCACCTCTACTAGCTAAGCTGGCGGCAACTCGAAAAACAGCGGCATGCCCGTTGCCCTCGGCAGGCGAGCGATCGCGCGATGACGGCCCAGCGGGACCGGCCCTCGGAGGGCGGCGCGGGGGGGCCGGAGCCCTCAGTAGTCGGCCTGGGGCTGGCGGTCGATCTGGATGAAAGCGGCGTGAAACGTGGAATTTCTGGACGTCTGGCGCATTCTGGAGTCCAGTGGGTGGAGGTGGGAGTGATAGGTCGGATAGATGGGCGTGGAAGTGGGAAGTCGGATGCCGGGGGTTGATATGTGGAGGCGGAGATGGAAAGTCGGATGCCGAAGGTTGGAGGTCGGAGTGCTGAGATGGTGGTCGCCGGAGGTCGAAAGGTGGAGGTGGAGAGTCGGACGCTGGGGGCCGGAGGTCGGAGTGTTGAGCTTGTGGGCGCCGGAAGTCAATAGGTGGAGGTGGAGGTGGAAAGTCGGATGATGGTATGCTGTGTAATGGGAATCGTTTGCTCGAGAGTTTGTGTCGCAATTGGCTGACCTTCGCCCATCCGTCGGCGAGCCTGTTCCGTAACTCTGTGTCGTGGAGCTCGTGAAACGTTTATTTTCTTCCCATATACTTTGTACTCTGGTCGTTTGGTAGCATGTCGATCTGCGCACCGTCCAACATGATGCGTGCAATTGTCCTTCCCATCCTCCGGCTTATGTTCGTAAGTATATTGGTCTTGTCTGGGCGCAGTGTAAGCCCACAATTGGACGCCTCTTTCCGCAAGTCTCGCAGTAGACATGTGAACTGTCGCAAATTTGGGGCGTATAGAAGGATGTCGTCTGCGAAGCGCAAGGTTCTGATGCTGGTCCCTGGAAAACAATTTGATGCCAAACCTCCTGCGATGCCAGCTTGGCCTGAGCTGCCGGAAGACGCGTTCCAAGAGCGCATTGAACAATAACGAGCTGAGCGGGTCGCCCTGCTTCACCCCCCGTTGGATTGAAAAGCTTCTGCTATTGGTATATGTTCGTACAGTGGCTGTCTGGTCATCGTACAGGTGTTGTAAGAATTCAATGTAAGTGTTTGGTATGTGTTGTGGTCGCAGACTTTTCCAACGTTCGTCGTGGCCGACGAGATCAAATGCTGTCTTGAAGTCGATTGCTGCTGCCCGCAGGGGTAACTGCCATGCGAAAGATTTATCGTGTAGCGACGTCGTGGTGAACAGATGGTCCTCGGTGCTGAAGCCTCGTCTGAACCCAGCCTGATCGACGATTTGCTGCGAATCAAAAGCAGAAACAAGTCGATTGCAGAGGAGGCGTGACATAAGCTTGTAGAATAATGGAATAATAATAATGGGTCCGTAGTTTTGTGGTAACTTTGGGTCGCCGGACTTGTAAATCACCATAATCGTTGTCTTCTTCCACTGCTCTGGTGGTGGGTGGTCTGGTTTGATGATGTCGTTGTAGAGATGGAATTAATGACGCTCCACAACTTCTCCGCCTGCCTTCAAAATCTCTGCTATGTTTCCCGCGGTGTCGCTTCATTTGCCGGTCTTGAACTGTTTAGTGGCAATACGAAGCTCTTCAGCTGTGAACGGTGGTATCTGGGATGTCGCTGCGGTTGTCTCGTTGTCGACTCTGCTGCTTTCTGGGTCTTTGTACAGCTGCTCGTAGAACGTGGCAAGATGTCCGCAATGCTCTGTCTGTCGGTGGCTTTTGTGCCGGTCGCTGGCGTCATCGATGCAAACAGTTCTTTGCGTTTGGATGATTTCACACCAGCGATCTGCTTCAAATTACTGAATTTACACACGATCGGTTGCAACTTGGCGTGTTCGCGCATACTCTTGATAAGTCAGAACTGCTTCGATATGAGCTTGCTGAATGTAGTCCCGGCAATTGCGTCCGTGTGTGGTGCGCCGCGGCGTTGCTCCATGAGTTCGCGTAATTTTCGGTCTGCGGCGCGAGTGTCTTCGCATATATGGTGCTGGATTGACGCGTCTTGGTATTAGTTGTAGTCTTTGTGAGCTTGTACAAGGGCTTTGCCGATGCTGTTGCTCCTCTCGTCGGTGCTGGTGTTGTTGCCACTGTCGATGAGCCTTTGCAGTAGACACTGCTGGTGCGGAGGGTCGTTGGCGGGCGGGCGAAACGGTCGGTGGTCGGGTCCACATGTTCTTTTCTTCCGTTTCCTCCCCGCGCTAGCGTTGAGGACAATCTTCATGCATGCAGCATGGTGGTCGGAGCCGAGGTCTGGAGTGCTGGTCGCGCGTGAGTCGATGAGTTGGTTGCGACATGATTTGTCGAGGAGTATGTAGTCGATCTGTGATTGCGTCTTGTTCTCTCCGCTGCTGGTGCATGTGAAACTGTCATGGTGCTGCTTATAAAAAACGCGTTGCTAATGAGCATGTTTTGTGCGTTTGCCCATGTGCTAAGCCACGTTCCGCGTGCATTGCACTTTCCCATTCCATGCTTCCCTATGGTGGGCCTCCGTTGAAATCCCCAATGATGATCGCATTGCGCTTCTGTTGTCCGGCGTCGTCGTGTAGTGCGGCAGGTAGTCGTACATCTGCTGGATGTGGGTGTCGGGGTAACCGGAATGTGGGAAATATGCAGTTGTGATTCGGATCTGCGAGGTGGAGATGTCGAGGTCGATGTATGCGATACGCTCGTTGATGCGTGTGAAGCTCTTGATGTTACGTGAGTGCCGTCGGTGAATCAAGAATGCAACGCCTCGTGAGGAGGTGTCGTGTCCGGCTGCTGCGAATACGTGGGATACCGATGTGGTCGTCCACATTTCGCGAAGCTCGCTCCTCCAAGTTTCGTTGATGGCTACGATGTCCCACGTCAGGTTTTCTAGCTCGTCAATCGGAGTGTCGATAGCATCGTCAGTGGTAAGACTTCTCGCATTTTTGTGAATGATGGTCATCGGGATGCGTCCATCGTCGGCGTCGTGACTGTCGAGATCCTGGTTGGAGTCTTGTTGTGGATGGGTAAAAGCAACATCGTCACGATTCTGCTGCATGGCAAATGCTTTCTCAGCTGCCGCGCATCGCTGGCGCAATGTGCACGAGGGAACGTCGCCAGATACATCGTTGTAGGCTCGGCGTCCTCCTCTTCCTCTTGCTGGTGGGGGTTGGCAGTTGATAAATGGAGGTGGAGGTGGAATGTCGGATGCTGGAGGCTGGGGGTCAGAGTGCTGAGGTGGCGGAGGCAATAGGTCGATAGGTGGGGGTGGAGGTGGAAAGTCGGTTGCTGGAGGCTGGAGGTCGGAGTGCTGAGCTGGTGGAAGCTGGGAGTCGATGGGTGGAGGTTGAGGTTGAAAGTCGGATGCTTGAGGCTGGAGGTCGGAGTGCTGAGCTGGTGGACGCCGGAGGTCAAAGGGCGGGAGTGAAAGTGGAAAGTCGGATGTTTGAGGCTGGAGGTCCGAGTGCGGAGCTGGTAGACGTTGGAGGTCGATAGGTGGAAGTGGAGGTGGAAAGTCGGACGTTTGAGGCTGGAGGTCGGAGTGCTGAGCTGGTGGACGCTGGGAGTCGATAGGTCGCGGTTCCGATGCTGGAGGTTAGAGGTCGGAGTGCTGAGCTTGCGGGCGCTGGAGGTCGATAGGCGGAGGTGGAGGTGGAAAGTCGGATGCTTGAGGCTGGAGGTCGGAGTGCTGAGCTTGTGGACGCTGGAGGTCGATAGGTGGAGGCGGAGGTGGAGAGTCGGATGCTTGAGGCTGGAGGTCGGAATGATTAGGTGGTGGACGCCGGAGCTCACAGGGCGGGAGTGAAGGTGGAAAGTCGGATGTTCGAGGCTGGAGGTCCGGTAGACGCTGGAGGTCGATAGGTGGAGGTGGAGGTGGGAAGTCGGGTGTTTGAGTTTTGAGGTCGGAGTGCTGAGCTAGTGGAGTCTGGGGGTCGATAGGTGGAGGTGGAGGTCGAAAGTCGGGCGCTGGATGCTGGGGGTCGGGAGACAATCCTGCAGTCATAGAGGCCGAGCCCGGGGGAGCAATGGCGCGGAGATGGCCTGATCGATGTAGCTCGGCATCTCCGCGTGGAAGCCCTAGGGCACAGTATATCGGCGTCGCAGCGTCGTCTGGCATGACCCTGCCCCCAACCATTTTTGCTGTAATTTACTGCTGCGGGCGGTGGTGGTGTATAGAAATTGGCCCCGCTGAGCCGGCACCGGTGGCCGAAACGCGTGCACTCGTAGATGGCGCCAGTGCCTTCCATCAGCGGCAAACGAGGTCCATGATGAGCGAGGTGTCGATGCATCCGCCGTGCGCTGTACGAGGGTAGATTTGCCCGGGCTCGTGCACGCAGTAGCGT